GCTAACTCTAAATACTAATAAATACCAAATACATTTTGGCAGACGATTTGCTATTATCGTTTAACTGTTCTAGAAAAGAACGAAATAAATGCAAGTGATCTTTGACAAGCATTTACATAGAACCTAAAAGACAGAAATCCTCAGTGTTTGTTGTATGCTTCGTTCCAACAACTAGCGGTACTTTTGTAAAACTTCTAAAATTTTGTCATTTTTAAAATTATGATTTCAATTTGTCATCATCATTTTATCACAAAGAAACCACTTTTTTCTGCTCTAAAGTACAGGTTTTTGATCTTCGGGTGCTGAAGCAAGCAGCTAAAAGAAGACATGCACTTAAAATAGAAATATATCAAAATTTAAAGATCCGGTGAACCGTTGAGATGAAGGAAACGATGCAGTAGAAAACCTGTAATATTTATCTGACAAAATTTAAAGTTGTAAGTTTAGGCTGTGTTCATGACCAAACTAAACCTGAAAAATATTTCATTTGATCAAATAGTCATAAACTTATTTTGTTGTCAGAAAAATGTCGCCTGCAGGATTCCAGAAATGTTTCAAAGATAAATCAGACTTCTGTTGAAATGGGTACCAACTGAATAGTCAACGGCTAGAAATATTTCTGCTAGCATGAATCAAAATGGCGTTTTGAAGGATTTCTGCAGCGTGCCTCAACCTAATCAGGATAAACCGTGTTTTCCTGCTGCGCAAGAGTCGCTCAACTAAAAAGGTTGTTTTTTATTAGGCAAAAACCAAGTCTGCTAGAGGCGAAAGATCTGTCTTCATTTGTTTTTTTAACTAAGCTTTTCCATAGCAAACTATCACTTTTTCAAAGCCCTAAACGTCATCTTCTGCTTAAGTGTTTATTGCAAGCAGAAAAAGGTGGTTAATCTCTTCAAGTAAGTCTAGAGTCAAGAAAATTTTTCCTCTTGTAACAAAATTAATTTGCTTACTGAAATTTCAATTAACAACAGCTTCTTAAAAAAGTGAAGCGTAAGTCTGGTTCTAAGATATCTGTCTGGCTTAAAGTTTAGAAGGAGTTGTGTTATATAAGAACTGAAAATAATTAGCATTCTCTCCCACCTTGGCTTTTACAGTCGAAAGAGTTATATATATGTTATACATTTATAAGATAGAGACTAAAAATTTGAAGAAATTTGCTTGAGAGTTGATGTTGATATTACAAAGAGCAAATTGCTGCAGCAATAAACTTGTACGTTGGCATTAAAGTAATAATTTAAAAAACAGATAAGTGGTTTACCATTTTTGCAAACCATGATCACTGAAGTAAGTAAAAACCTGAATTGTAAAAAAAAAGTAAAATTTAGATTTTTAAGACAATAACGATAAAGACAGGCTACAAATAATATTGATCAGGATATGAGGTTATTTCTTTTAAAAGAGTAAGGTCTAGTAAACTAATCGAGATACGCAACTAAGAGTTCTAATTGTAAAAGAAGCGTTGGTTACCAGAATCGTATTTTATGCCAAAAATTGGCTCTAGTTTTTTTCTCTAGTTATTCCGCTGTAAATATATAGCATACCTCATTTGAGAGCAAAATTTCCCATATAAAATTTTAAAAAAAAAGTACAAAAAACTGAACAACAGTTATGTTTAGAAATTTTCGATGCAAATTGTTTGAGTAAAGAATGCTAGTTGTTGGATAAAATATTGACTGTTCTTTGAAGACCTTAATGAAACGTATCTTCGTGAGATAATATCTAACAAATTAAACAAATAGACTATCTTTGCTTGCGTCTCGAGAAAAGTGTTTCTGGAAAAGTTGTATTGCTTACCAACAACGAGGTTCAGTACTATTTGTTTATGTTCAGGTCTTTATATTAAACTCGTCTAAAATTCTTCATTGATTAGCAGCTTTTATAGTGTTTATGTTAACGATTGAATTTACGAAATTTCAAATACCTGTTCCACTGTCCCATCTTGTTCTGTATTCACAAATTGGCACAAATTCACTTTTAAAAAGTCATCAGCATCGTTTATTATTAAAACTACATTTTTCTGCTTTGTAGAGTAATAACACTTTGTTCTATAGTACCCTATTTTGAAAGAAAAAATTATAATGTTAAAAAATTTGCATAATCTTCTATAGTATCTATTGACCACAACAGCATAAATAATGACAAAACCTCTCTTGAAAAAAACGCTTCTATTGGATTAGTAAAAATTACATTTTTGCAAAGACTAAAGTACCAGAAATGATTGATAGTTTTGTAGGATGTTTCACGGAAATGTATATATTACATGAATAAAAACGTTAAAGGTGTGTCTGAAAGAATTGCCTAACAAAAAAGGCAAAGCCTTAAAAGTGTCGATAATTTGTTAATTAACATAAAAGTTTCGTACGATATGTGGTTATTCCTTTTTTTTTTAAATATTACAGTTACTCTGTTGACTATTTATTGTTCAATATACTGTTAGAAATTGAAAAATCACTTAATGACAATTGTCGACTTGAAGGAGTTAATATTTGATTAAAAACGTTTAACTTTATTGAATAGAAAGTGTTAAAGTGAAATATTTAGGAATAAAATATACGATAAATAAATCAGGTAAATTACTGAAACTATATTGACTGTTTTTTCAAACAGTAACATTTCAGGAGAGCTTTGCTATCAATAGATTTTGTAGAGTATGACAAATATTTATGCCATTAAACTTTTGTCTACAGTGTCAAACAAGAAGATTGCTGCCGACTTCAGCATCACCAAGAGATAAATTTCTTCTGACAGTTGATCGGCTACTATCTAGTCTACTTGCAATACGTTTGAACAGCTTTTTGTCTTTTTAGTGCCAATAATTAAAATATTCCACAAGTATATAAATGAGAAAATATAAAACAAAAAAAAAGCTGATTTTCCTTTTTATATGCTTTTAATGTTTTTAAGAAATAATGAGTATAAGCTTCTTTGCTTAGATCGTTTATTCTGTAGATAAGAACAAGCAGTTTTCCTAACTGTACATGGCTTCTCTGAAAGTTTTCTGTGCTCCACCTTATATAGAAAACCTTTTTTTGTCAAGCCTTCTACAATTGACAAGATTTTGGCAGCAAATGAATAAAAAAAATTGTCGATTATTTTAAAGCTCGTGTAATGAAAGAAAAGGAATTTTAAAGAAAGTTATGTTTATTTAAAACAAAAAATGGCAGTTGGGTAGTCGAAAAAAAGCTATATAGTAGATGGAAAGACTGAAAAAATTGAAAATTGTTAAAACAGTTGTTAACGAAAAAGATCAGTGGGAAACCCACTATAAACTGTGCTAGACATAAGTGCATTCGCTTTAGTCATCATTCTTTAACTTTATGTGGAAAATAAGAGTTTAAATTTTTCTCTTATTTCTAAATAAAGCTGTAATATTTCATTATTTGTTATATGCACATTGTACTGTATTTTGCAGTATTCTGATTGCAGTTACCAATATAGTAAAGTAAGAAAAAGCTGTTATCTCAAACGTTTTTTTTCTTGTTACTTTATAAGCTCATTTGAGAAGTCTTTCTTCTTCCTCTCTTTTTTCTATTGCAGTATAGTTTTAAAGAGCTGAAGAAAGTTTGGCCATTGGCCGTCGTACAATTCTTTTTTTATTCTGGGCAACTGACCGTTGTTAGCTTTAACTCAGCAGAGGTTTCTTTCCAAATGTTTTTTACTGCGAAGAAGTTTTGACGGTAGATAATTAATAACGAAAATAATAGTCACTGTGGCGAAAAGGTTGACGGTTTTGGCAGCAGTGATGGTGGAGAGGATAAAGGAAGGACTGTGAAAATTATTGACATACTTCGATCATAGGATTTCGACCTGTATAAGTCCAATTTTGAGGTACAGTTCGCAGCATTTTATAATAGCGAACCAAACTTTAGGTTTTGTTCTTTGTTCATTAGGACAAAACACAAACCCATTAGAAAAGTGTATATATACATGAATTTATTCTTTCCGTTTCTTCATTGCACTTCGTTAATATGCCACTTAAATGTTCCCAATTGAAAAAAATGAAGGTGTTTGGTCAACTAATTTTTTTCTTCGCTTTCGCTTTTTGTACAGTTTTGTTACCAATTAAGTATTATTTTACAGAGACAATTAACAGACGACTAGTCGGTTGTAATTTGGTAAGAAAAATGAACAGTTGTTGGGTTCAATTTTGTTGACATACGTGGAGCATCTGAATGCTGCAGCTGTGGGAATTACGCTCTGTCTTTTCTTTGTTATTCGGCAATATCCATTATTTTCCTTTTTCTTTGATATTATCCATTATTTTCCTTTTTCTTTTTCTTTTTTCTAAAATCACTGGCGATTTAGATGGGCTTTTTTTATGATTATACCAACAATTTTTTTGTAATTTAGTTTTTGAAATGCAGTGTATAAACGTACTTTTGAATCTTTCTACACTTTTTTATTGAAAAAGGACTAGAGAAAATTGGCTAAGTAATGTTATAATGATATGATTAATGAATGTGCTAACAGAAATTGTCAGATACTTTTTTTTTGGTTTTTTCTAATTCCAAGTTTTTTATGCTGTTAATGTTGACCATCTAAAAACAATATTTTTTACCGGTATAGGTATTTGGTGTATGTATGTGTATTTGTGTATTTCTACGTGTGTATTTTTTATTCAATTATTGAAGAAACCAAAGATTTGGAGAGAATTACTAGAAATGGTAAGCATTGTTGATGGTAATGACCAAAAAGAAAAAAATAATAATAATGACAGTCTTAAATATCAGTATGACTGGGGAAAAAATTTATAATGCTTTGCCACTATAAGTGCTGTGAAACTTTTATTCGTTTTGTCGACAATTAATAACTGAGTGTACAATTCTGCATTAATTTTTGTGCTTTACTGTTAGTGATATCAACGGCGATTTAGTGTTACATTACTCAAAAATGAACGTGCCTTTGATCTTATGTTCCCATAAAACCGATACAAGCAGTGCCTGTGCTTTAAATGTGATTATTTCCCACTAACAGACGGTCTTCAATTTTTTCAGGCTGGTATGAAAATTTCAGAAGATTTATCTGAACATTTTCAGTGGAGCTATACAGAAGAACCGCATGCATCAAGGTAAAGTGACGTTCTCTTTCTTTGTCTCTCTTTTTCGTTTTAGTCTCATTAACCAATAAAATGTTTTGTTGATATTTTGAGCTGTAAAACTCAATATTTTTACAGTACCCATCCTTCTTTAAATATTCATCTCTTCTTCTTTCCACTGCTCCTGGTTTCTTCTTCCTTCTTCAGTAGCTTCTGAAGGAAGCGAAAAAACACTAAGGGAAAAAACGAGAGAAATTTACAGGCGAGATGAAATCTTGAAGAAATACCCAGAAATTAAAAAATATTTCGGTGTTGATCCAGCTTTCAAATATGTGGTTGTTGCAATGGTCATCATGCAGTTTGTGTTTGCGTGGATGCTAAAAGGTCAGTTTTAAAGCAGGGTTTTCTCTTCATATTTTGTTCTACCTACACGTCATTTCCACAGTGGTTACTTGACAGGAAAAACTAAAATGATAATACAATTATAGCAAATATTTGACGTCTTGAAATTCTAAGTAGATAAATAGTAGAGAACATAGTATGAAAATATAGTTTCTTTTTTAGGCTTATCAAAATAATGGTTTCTCACTTTTCAATCAGAAATGATATTTTTTGTTTTATCTGGATATGTCACTAATCACTAACGTTTGCAACTGACACATCTCTAACATATGAATCTGATCATGGAGTTTTCAGATTCTGATTGGTTACTAGTTTTAATTCAGGCATACTGTGTATCCGGAACAGTAAATCATGCATTAACACTGGCAATTCATGAAATATCGCATAATATGGCTTTTGGTTGCACTAATCCCTTAGCGGTACATTTTCTCCGTTATTTTTATCTGGTCTTCTGTTCAGTATTTTGTGTTATACGTTTTGCTCAAGTAACTGTTAATGAGTTTTATAAGCGGCAGGTAACGCAAATACTAACGTGATACCTTAGTGAATAGAATTAGGATGATATGGTGGAAGCATCATTTGTTGAGGAAGAGTCTTTCTTTAGAAACTGCTAGCCGTTGAAGAAAGGAAATAAAGAACTTTTCTGCAGTTCTAAGGCGTTTGATGGCGGGTGGAGGAAGGAGAGGGCGAGATGCGAAAAAGAGGAAAAGGAAAGGGGAAGGAAGGGAAAGAGTCGTTGAAGCAAACTTCATTAAAGTTAGGTGACATCGTAGGAGGTACTCTCGCTTTCTTCTTTCCTTCTGCTTCTCAATTTCAGTCTTTTATGTATTTTGTTGTTTACTATGGCAGAAGAAGGAAAGCTTTTTTTACCTATTTATTTATTTACTTACTTTTTTTTTAGTATAATTAGATTCGTTTGTAGGAGCAATGGAAATGTATATAAAGAATCACGTTTTGTTAGATTTAAGAAACACCAATGAAAAACACAATCAAAATTATATTCGTAGCACTTTTTTGGTCACAGTTTCATTCGTAGAAGTAAGTTAGAAGTTGAAG